TGCCCAATAATGAGAATAAATTGTTAACAAAATAGGTGAGAAACCAGAAGTTGAGTTCTTTGTCACCATGAATGCACAGCTACACTATTAAACTAGTATATTCTTGAGATCTAGATGTTAATTTCTGGCACATTAAGAACATATAAACATACAATAAGAACTCATGACACAACAAATGTGCCTTGTTTGTGAAGATACAATGACTACAATATACATAGAATCTGACATTCTGATGTCACAAATACCATGCACACATATAAAGCCATGATTGAGAATCACATATAAAATTGCATTTGCTCTCAGCAACTAGTATAACTAATACAATTATAACAGCTATTAGTAAATTGTACATGCAAACAAACAGACAAATATTACAACATGAAACAGATGATTCAAACTCACGATGACAACAATCACCTCACCTCACCAGTGCAGACAGTGCTACCTGCCCCTCCAGATTCACTGTGTCAAACAACACAGTTCAAAATGACGTATAGCCATTAGATGTAATGTAACTATAGGCTGGACTCCATGGCATGACACTATAACAGGACGGAATAACTGATAACTATAACTGATTTTTTTTCAGGTCCGTAACATGGGGCCAAGTAATATACCCTACAATAGTCAAATTATTGTACACTTGCCGTGGAAGACACTGCATGGAAATTATATACTTTTTGTCAATCACATACATGTAAGTAAAATTTACCTGTAATTTTGATTTGATTCCTATATTTATTACTAGTTTCTTTGTTTTCAAGGAGGTTTATAGATGCATCGTCACTAAGCAAGTGGTTTGTTGTACATGTGGCTATACTGACACATACGTAAATATATGTCCTTTTATACAACACATATACACTGTGACAACACACAAACAGTCTTTGGCTGCAGAAAAATCATATAAAACTCGCCAAACTCACAGAATTTCTTCATCAAAGTATGGCAACCAGGATGCTAATGGTACCGGGTAGTTAGTGACCTGTTTATGGGCCTCTGCAAGTTATGAGAATCAAACCACAAACAGAATATACCATTAGCATCCTTGTAGCCATCCAATAACTGTAAATCTCTCTATATAACTATTTAGGTGGAAGGATCAGCTGGCAGCTGTCTTGCACAAGATATTTTTGATGAGCAAGCCATTGACACAGCTACATGTGACACCAGAGTACTAGTTGACATAGAACAAATAACTGAAGAAGCTTTGGTAGGTTGTTTTTTAACCGTGAAGCAAATGTTATTGTTTATTCAATTACTTTTTAGCTCTGCTGTCGACTTTGTCGAGCGGAGCTTATCATATGAGTGATTGTCCCTTAGATTTATTCATTTCATGATATCTTCAATTCTCTAATTTTGGTGAATATTTTTGTT